GGCCTAATTAGGACCTGAATAAATACACTATGAAATTATACGGTCGTTTGATTTTAATTCATCAGAATCTAGAGCCTACTGTAACTAGAGTTCGACACATGAACTGATGAGAAGCAACGAGAGACGTCCATCTCTTGTTCATAACTATATTTGCAACTTTTGCGAATTCAGCTTAAAGTAAACTTTCATAGGGCGCTTATGGACAGACTGCGTGGGATAAAACTCATATTGATGTTAGGGAATGATTTCTTATATGAAATTAACGACTATACGATTATGACAATACACGCACATGTATGTGTGTACATGTATTTATAATCATATAAGAACACAAACATCCACTGTGTGTATATAATAGTGGGACCCATGAGTATATATAATAGTGGGACCCATAGAAATCCCATGGAACAACAAAAAAGGAGGTACTCCTCTTCCCTCTTTCACCCTCTTACCTTTCGCCTCCCTTTCCCTTTTCCTCCTCCCCTCCCACTTTAAGCCCTCACTCCCTATCCCTTCTTTCTAACCCTCCATTTTTCTCTGACTCAGCTCTCTCTTCCCCATACCCATCCCCTTTTACCTCTTTAAGTCCCCCCCCCCCTATTTTCCCTCTGTTCTCCCTTCCCCTCCCTTTCTCTCCATCTTCCTTTCCCCTTCCCCTCCTACCTTCCATCTTAAACTTCCTTCTCGGATAGTCTTGTAAATAACGTATGTGCATTAACTGACGGTATAACTACTTAAATGCAGTGTACTTGCCTCGAAGAATGATATAGCAATGGGATTAATAGCTATAATAACAATAATAATGATAATTGTAATAATAATGACAATTATTTATTAATGATAATGTCATCACAGATTAAGATTCTCACTCGTAATATGGTGCAAGTGCATGTTATTTTATAATATTTAAGCTATCAATATCAACCTATTTTACACCAGCATACACTGACTTCAAGTCCGCAGTCGCAAGGAAGATAATTCCCAGCACAGAATCCCAACTTAACATTGGGATGAAGGAACTAACAATTTACCGTCAAATGGAATGATATTCCAGGAGTAAAATGCGGGAGGATAGACGAATGAAGCACAAAAACTATAACACACACACCCAGGTATATATTGATTCTGTATGTGTACTTAATTTGTTTACCGCTGATATCTACAGCCGCTGCTATCAGTCAACAATTGATTTCTCTAGAAATAATTTCTGGTCGCTTTTAATCCCGCCTCTCGCACTCAGATAATGATTTTCCAAGTTATGCTTACAATAAAACTGACTCAATCACTCAAATTTTGGCAAACAAATTCCAACCTAAAATACTCCATACGCAGTCATCTTAAAATTCATCGGATTCGTCTCCGTACAAAGCCAGTTATCAAAACACTACTAAGCTCATTACTCCCGTAGAAGCATGGCCGGATTCATTAAGAAATCAACATTCAAGTTGGCAGTTGTCTTTTTTCCCCACAGCTACATTGACTTCAGTCACAATCAGCGTTTCTTCCCAAGACATAAAGACGAGTCGTAGAAGATAATTCAACATGCTCGAGGTACATATATATGTCTATGTATATATATATATATATATATATATATATATATATATATATATATATATATATAAACATATTGATTTCGGTTTAACGTCACCGAACTCCTTTTTTTGGACAAGGGCTAGGACGGGCCTACCCCGTGAAAGGCAGGCAGGTATTGGCAGGTGGAGACCGTTACCCCGAGAGACCGTGGCCGGGAATCGAACCCGTGCGCTTGTGGACCCTCCGGCCCACAGCCGCGCGCGTCACTACTGTACCACGGTCGCCCCCATATATATAAAAACATATGTGTATATATATACATACATACATATGTATGTATGTATATATACATACATACATATGTATATATATATTTATGTATTCTAGTGTTCTGTCCTACGACTGGTTCCTCTTGACATCTTTCTTCTCCTTGAGACTCTGTTCACCCCTATTACACAAGACTGAGGGCCATTTCCTGAAATGTCTGCCATAATTACAAGGAAAAAGGTCAGCCAGAGTAGTTTCTTGTTGCCTTCCCTGAGAGTGTTTTTATTGAGACACTGTTTCTAGAAGAGTTGCCAGACAAGTCCCATCTACCTTTATTTCTATTCATCCCATAGAAGGGCCCTGACAGGTGCTCCACTCTGGGTCGACGTGGACCTGGGATCAGTAGTGACTAAGAACTATAACGCCACTACCGGATACAGTTTATACTTATGCCCTGTAGGTATTGTGTATGTATATATGTAAATATACATATGTATACTCATATATGTATGTGTATGTATATACATATTTATTCATATATGTATATATATGTATGTACATACACACACACACACACACACACACATATATATATATATATACATATATACTTGTATATATGTATATATACATATATGTATATGCATATATACATATATGTATATGCATATATACATATATGTATATGCATATATAC